GATGGTGACTCCACCACTGCCCTGGGCAGCCTGTTCCAATGCCTCATCACTCTTGCAGTGAAGAAATTTTTCCTAATATCCAGCCTAAACCTCCCCTGGTGCAACTTCAGGCCATTTCCTCTTGTCCCATCACTTGCTCCTTTAGAGCAGAGCCCAGCACCCACCTCACTGCACCCTCCTTTCAGGCAGTTGTAGAGAGTGATGAGGTCTCCTCTCTCAGCCTCCTCTTCTCCAGACTAACCAACCCCAGCTCCCTCAGCCGCTCCTCGTCAGACCTGTGCTCCAGACCCTTCTCCAGCTTCGTCGCCCTTCTCTGGACCTGCTCCAGCCCCTCAATGTCCTTCTTGTGGTTTCATTAGTCATCCTTGTGTTGGAGAGCCCCAAACTGAACAGAGGGGAGAAAATCCCTTCCCTAGGCCCACTGGCTGCATTCATGCTAATACAGCCCAGCATGTGCTCGGTGGGAGCAGTTCTCTTCAATGGTACTGCTTAATCGTATTGGTCTTTCCACCTTCTCCCTTTCTTTCCCCCTTCTTTTTCTTGTCTTTCCCCTGTTTCTTTTTCGAGTCGCAGGTGTGTGTTCTGAGCCTGTGATATGACATCCTTACCTCATCTCGGTGTTGCTAGAAGCACTTTTCTTATCCTTGATCTCTTATCATTTAAACCAGTTGCTAGTCTCTGAGGTGACTTTCTTTTTGTACCAAGATAATTTCTTTAAGATCTTCTGGTTAAGGACCTTATCAGAGCATCTCTGTGTTTCAGCAGGGGTGGTTTGCCTCGGGTGCTCCGGAGTCTTCCCACGTCCTTTTCCTGGTGGGTGCTGGTGCTGGAGGGTTCTTGGGTGAGGCTGTTTTGCAGGCCATGTTTTCTATCCGAGTAGGATCGCTGCTCTCAAAACACTTTCACTGATACCCAAGAGCAGAATAGCAACTAGCTGCTGTTGTCTTAGCTGGTAGCTGCCCCGGTGCTGTCCTTTGCCTCTCTGCTCAGGTGTGTTTCAAAGGAGTTCCTGGGCCAGAGAGAAGCAACATCTTCCCCTCTGGACTCATGGACAGAGGTAGTGGCACTTGTGGCATCCCTTCTCAGATTAAACTGTTTTTTTCTTCTATTTACTGAGGAGTCAATAGTCTTAGAGAACGGTTTATTTCATCCTTACAGTCCTCTGCAAGTTTAGGTTTTGGGATGAACACCCAAAAGTTTTGCCTTGTCTCTGCCCAGTTTGTGTATCATTTGAGGCACTGCTGGTCTTTACCATCGAGCTTTCTTCTTCAGGACACACTGCAGACTGTGCAGGGCTTCCTTTTCTGTGAATCCTGCCCACTCCACTCTTCATTACGTCTCACCTGGCTACTTGGCGGCATGTGGCAGCAGACACCTTTGGGTTGCTTTTTTCAGGCTGTATCTTGGCAGCCTCTAATCCCTCTCGGAGGGAGACATGTCCAGGCAGATACCACCTGCCCTTTGGATCGCAGTTCCCTGAAAGGATCCCTGTTCGTGCTGGAGGAGCTCGTTAGCCCGTGGTGGGGAGGATGGTACCCTTCAGCTCCTTCCATCAGAACTAAGCAAGATGAGGAGGATTAGTCTAAAAGCTTTGGGCTGCTTTCTGCAGAGGCAGTCGTTTCATCTGGGTCCTGGGACTTGGAGCAATGCAAAATACCGTCAGGGTGTTTGTTTGCGTTTCTGCATGCTCTGTGTCCAGGCTGTATTGTACTGGAGCATCCACTGTCCTGTCCTTGAGTAGAGCACCTTGAGCTCTTGTTTTTGTATACATGCTGCTCGTTTTTAGCATTTCTGCAGAGAATAGCAGGTTTGCTACGTAAGGGTGTGTATCCTAGACATTTTGGAAACCCTCACAAATCTCTTTTTTTATCCTTCTAAATGAGAAATAGGAAATCCAGCCAAATATCCTGGAATCTGTCCTATGTGACTGGAGAGTTTCTGAGATAAACTGGTTTGCCCTAAACGCCATCAGGAGGTTCAAATCTTCTGCTCGTGAACTGGCTGCTGCCAAAGTCTCTTTTGGGTCTTCTCCTAAGATTAGTGATCTTCTTACCGTTTCCTTTATCAGACACAAACACATTCCTGGTGCCTCTGTAGTTACATAGTTTGTACGTGGTGAGAGCTGAAGGACCTGGGCTGGCCTTTCTTGCTTGTAGCCAGCCCTTCTATGGGCATCGCCCCATTTGTCAACTCTAACCCCAAGAACCTTTCCACAATCCCTAGTCTTGTGGCAGGAAAGCGCTGAGCTGGATGAAAGGAAGGTACAAGACCAGCAGTAGGTTCTCCTTGTCATGGCCACAGATGATTTTGTTCTGAAGATAACCCTACGAGGCCGGGAGGTGAGAAGGAAAGGGTGGACTGTGTGGTGGTTAGGAGTTCAGCCATTTGGTTTGTGGCTCCAGGAGGGACAGCGGCATGACTTGGCTGGTAGGCACCGAGTCCTCCATCTCCCAAGGCATCTCAATACCGTACCAATTGCTGAGCGTGAAGTGAGAGTTGTGGTCCCGTGGTGCTGAAGGCGTAGGGAAGTACAGAAAAGGTTCCTTATGTAAAACTTTAAACTATGAAATGGGAAGTTGAAAACCAGGACCTGTGCTCTAGAAGGTCCCAGATGCTGTTCCGCACCTTGGCACCGTGCTGTGCTCTGCCCAGGGCCAGAAAGGGGTGAGGAGGAACAGCCCTGGTGTGTTGCTGAGGAGTTGGTCTGAAGAGGAGGGGTTTGGATCATCTGGACGCTGGGGCACTTCTGAAATAGAGCATGTTTTTTAAAGACAATTTAAAGCACTGTAAAACCGAGTTTCAGGTGTTTAAAATCTGGAAGGTCGTGCTGCCAAGATGTGAAGTGTAGAGAAAGGCAGAGTTGGCCGTGTTTGTGAAGAGGTGGTGCTATTTATTAAAGAGACCATAGACTTAAGATCTGATAAACTTAGAGATGTCTATGGATTAAAATTCCTGTACAAACAAGAAAAAAAAATCAGTTATTACCAGTTCCATGCTATTTGATTGGGGTGGTGACAGATTGAGACAGAGAAGGCAAGGGCAGGAAACCGTTGCTACAGGAGACCCACATAGCTTGAAAAAAATGTAACTTTGGGGTCCAATTCTGAAATAATATTTTTAGGTGTGGTTAATGTTTTATGGAGCAGGTAGTCAGGGAAGCCACAGGAAGAAAGCTGATACTGGGAAAGAATAGCAGGACATTGGCTGCACCGTGTTTGGGTTTCTACCTTGGCGTGAACAGCAGCCCAACAGTAACTGTTCATTTCGAAGCGCGGTAATAAATACATAGAAGCTTATTAAAAACAGGCTGAGCAGGGCAGCTGCTTTTGTGGTTCCAAGGGATATTAAGAGAATTACAGACCATGGAAATAGCAGTAGAACAAACAAGATGGGTACGTACATGAATATTGTTGTGAGGAAGAAGAGCTGTTGCGAAGGCTTGGCCATGCCTTGCAGTCCTGGTGAACGCAGATGTATATAAGGATGGGTCTGCCTGGATTTGCAAAAGCTACTTGGCAAGGTCTAGTCTCCAAAATTCTTGAGGAAGGCAAAGGGAAGGAGCTTGTGTAGTTGAAAGATTGGTTATAAGATTAGGTACCAGGTAGGAAGCGGGGCAGAGAGACGAATGGCCCGTGTGTGCGTGTCCTGCCCCCTCTCCTCCCTGCAGCTGCGAGTGGTCACCAGTGGATTTCTGCGGGGACGTGTCCTGAGCCTCTGCTATTCACTGCATTAATAAATGACCTGAAAGTGAAATTAATAGGGAGACGATTTTTTTTTCCTGATGATATGAAGCTAACTAGAGTTGTAAAATCAAGGGCTGGCTGTGAAAACCTGCAGAATGATCTGACAGTGCTGGGTGACTGGATGATGAAGTGAAAGAGGTGTTTCAGGCTGGATAGATGTAAAATGATTCTCGGGGGGGTGGGGGGAGAATAAATAATCCAAACTTGACACAAAAAATGGTCTCTGAGCTACCTCTTACAGTGCAGGGACAAGTTCTTTGTGTCCCTGTTCCATGGAAAAAATCAGCTCAGTTCTCATCTGCACACAAAAAATAAGTGGAATAATAGAGAGCAGGAGGGGGAGGAATAGAAACCAAACCAGAGAACATCATTATACTGTTGTCTGTAATGATCGACGTGCGTGTGTGTTGTGAATGATGCTTGTGGTTCTGGTTTCCCCCTGCTTCTCAAAGAAGATGCAGAACTGGAAGTGTAGGAACAGTATTAAGAGAGGTATAGATTAGCTTCCATACGAGGAACGATGGAGTAGAGTGGGCATAACCAACCTTGAGAAACAACCATTGGGGAGTGAGGTATGAATGAAGACTTTAAAATCCTTGGGAAGGTTAACAGAGAAATGCCATTCTTCTCTTCCAGTTGTGAAAATGCAAGTACCAAGCAAAACCAGCTTGGGCAGTGATTGAACGGTGGAGCTGCAGGATGTTGGCTTTTTAAAGAGCTCACAAAGGTTCAGAAAGCGGCCAGATTAGTGGAGGAAAATCTATGAGGATGTGAAATCCAGCAAGACCATGTTTTGCTTAGGAAATTGTGTCAAATGTATGTTGGGCAATGAAAGAATGTTCTTGGAAAGTACAACTGTTTGCTCTGTCCTGTGCATCCTGGAGACGATACACGAGGCTAGGTGGACTTTTAGTCTCATATGCTGTATCTGCTCTTACGTGTTTTTTACTCTCTTCTGAATCACCCAATATAGAAATTAATTGTTGATTGTTTTCTAGTCCTTTTCCTACCAATTAGGAGCTAAAGAGTAGCTGTAGTTGTATATTGCAAAGCTGTTGGTCACTAAAGCAGATGGACGTTTTATCTTGAATTCAAGAAATGACTAAAAAAGTAATAGAAAATATTTAGTGATTTCAACATCCTTGCCTTCAATGATTTGTGGATTGTTTTGAGGTTTTTGTTCTGTATTTCTGCTGCAGAAAATCTTGTGGCTTGACCGTTCTGTACTTGACTGATATTTTGTTTGGTTTTTTGAAGGTATATGGGAATAGGACTTTCTGCTCAAGGGGTCAACATGAACAGGCTTCCTGGTAAGTCACTGTGCAGATTTGTCTTGGCTTATGGTCTGTGTTAAATGTTCATTTCAAATAAAGATTTGAAGTATATATGTGAATTATTGAATGTGTGTTTCTATTAATAAAATGTCATGACTGTAAGTGTCTTATGTCTGGAAGTGTCAAATTATGGAGTGTTATCCTCAACTGAGTTACTGGGATTGTTAATGTAACCATGATGACTTTAGCAAATAATAGAAATTAATATTAAACTAATGAGTAATGGGTAAGGTGATGAACTTTCAGACATGCAAGCTCTTCTTTGCGTCTGAAAGATAAGTAGCAAAATAATTTGACATTTAATCTGTATATCCCATGTGACAAATTTACATGAAAAAATCAGAAAATGACAAGGAAATTTGCCTGTCATATTGTTTCTTCTCTCTTCTTTCCCTGTTCCCACCAAAAAACTAGAACAATGTGATAGAGTGGTATTTCCAGTTAATATTGTTGCTTCCTTTGTTTGAAATGTTTGTTTTTATATTAGCCTGGAAGTTGTTTAAGTAGTTTCTTTTTAAAAATAAATGATCAGTAATCTTTCTTTAACAATTGCCAATGTATTAAGCAAAATTATAATTTCTAGATTTGGATCGACATAGTGACTTCTGTAGCAGGAATTCTTTCAGCTGAGTTTGAAACTAGAAGTTTTCTGTGTTTGGTAGAAGGTAAATGTTCTTCATGTGCCAGAATGAATGACAACTGGTTCCCAGTGGTGGGGGCTTCTTTTGGTCTTTGGTGAGTTTACTTCTGGTGAAGTTGTTTTAAAGCTGAAATGTGTGTTCAACCCCTACTGCACATCTTTGTATCTCCAAAGGAGGATGTTCCGGGAATGTCTTAACAAAAGGAAGAGGCACTAAGACCCTTGTGAATTCACTTCTCAGAGAGGATTTTGCTTTCGTCTTCGCTGGTAACTTGCATATTCAGACAGTGGAATGTGCTTGTTTTTTCCGTATAACCTCTAGTTGAAAATGTTGCAGCATTGGAGCAAAATCCCTGAGTATTCTGTTGGCAAAATAGGTGATTCTGTCGCTCTGTTATAGAAGTGTACATTTCAGAAGTTTATAGCTATGTTTCTGAAATTCTGCTGAGACTGCAGATGGAGTCTCAGCAAGGAGGTGAAAAGGAGACTAAGACAGCCAGGGTCCTTGGATGGTTTCAGAAAATAGTCAGCTTTCTGGTGCCCATTCTTTTAATTGTAAATCTGCTGCTGAATTTTGCAATGGAACATCTGCCTTGACTTGTTACTGAAGAGGAGCATGGAGATCTTGGAATGTGCAAGGGAGCATTTGGGACCTTTCGTATTGATAAAGAAGAAATTTGGCATGGTATGAAATAAAATTTCACCAGTGAAACCATAAACGTTTTAGAGACAAATGTCAGTGCAGGGTGTGGGCTGTTCATAAATCACAACCATGACTGACAGCTACCACTTTGATCATGTTTGAGTGATCTTAAGAGTCATCTTTTGGCCATCGTCAGAGGCAAGACCTAAGACCTGTTGGTCTCACTTGAGCCCAACCTTCCTTGCATCTGTTTTTGTCTGGTAATTTCAGACCTGCCCATAGAGCTTGTGGAACCTCTGACTTTGGAGATACTGAGGACTCAGCTGGACATGGCCTTGACCAAGCTGATCTAATTAGATGTCCTTTGAGCAGGGGTTGCACCAGGTGTCTTCTGGAAGTCCCTTCCCTTCTTAGTTATTCTACACTTCTATGACAACTGGTTTTGGGTGAATGGTTTCAGTGACACCTGTGTTTCAAAGAATTTGCATCTTACCACAAACTGTATTTGTTAATAGTTGTTATGGCAACTACAGCGTCTACATATTGGAGAGAGAATTAAGGTTACAGGTCTTCATTCACCCAGACCTAGACCAGGGAAGGGGGAAGGCAGGGCACAGCTAGTTTTCTCAAGTCATACTTGGTTGCAAAAACGTGGGGAATGTCTAGATCAAGATGATCTGGTGTCAACAGGTCTAGAAGTCTCAGTTTTCAGACTCCTCAGCACTCCCTCTACCCCCAATCTTCCTGACCCAAGTCGGTTCTGTGCTTGTACAAGGTGAAGTGCGAGTCTAGTCCCATCATCTTTTTCCAGGGTTGAAGTGCTTGGCTGATTGGAAGAGGAGTTGTTTGGCTATTAAGGGGTGTGTTCTGTTCAAGAAATGGCTCTCTGGGTCGTGCAGTGCAGAGATGGGTGGGATTGTCTTGTAGATGTGGCCTGTAGACTGCTGGTTGCAGTTCTCCGGGGATTACACCACAGTTATATATATAACGCGGTTGAATACTAACCTGAGATGGTATGTACTGAATGTCATCGCTGTGCTGTCCTGAAATTGAAGTCAACATGATTTTTTTTTTTCCCTTTAGAGCCTAAAAATTAACCAAACCACTTCTGATAAATGGCTTTAAAGCCCTAGAGCTGCATGGGCTATTATATTGCTCGAGTAACTAAAGAGAGAAACATGGATCAGGCTGAACTGTTATTGTGTCTTTCGCAGCCCAGAGTCAGCGAGAGCTCACCAAGCAACAGACTTTGGAGTTTTGACTTGGCTTCATGTCAAATGAATCAAAGTGCCTGTATCCTGCTATTATTTCTAGAACCTATGTGACAAGTGTGGAATTCTTTTCTCTGAGTGAAATAAAACATAAAGTGAACTTGAGACTTCAGCTAGTGCTTGTTTAGCAACAAATTGCGTTAATTTGATCATATGAACCTGTTATTTGTTTGATCACATGCAGGTTATGCTGCCAAGAGTGGTTCTGCGGGCACGGTTAGGTCAATCTCCCATCATCTGTGTGAAATGAACTGCTTGGCTCTGTATTACAGCTCAGTAATTATCTTCCTGGCTTTTGCAGATTGAGTCTGATTTAATTTTTCTAGTATATCGCTCGAGTAACTAAAGTGAGAAACATGGATCAGGCTGAATCGTTACCATGCCTTTCGCAGCCCAGAGTCAGCGAGAGCTCACCAAGCGACAGACTTTGGAGTCTTGACTTGGCTTCATGTCAAAGTGTAATTTTAACTTTTTGTGACCTGAAACCCTGCCAGGTTTGTCTCCTTAGACCCTTTCTAGGTCACTTCTGTTTAACAGACCAATTTTTGCTCAGTGTGCTGGCAGGGCAGTAGGTGACCCACTGCAGGTAGGGGTTTGGGAGCCCAGGCTGGTCCCTTTCTTATTCCCACTTTCAGTGAGGATCCTTGGCACCCTGTCAGCCCTGACTGAAAGCACAATCTTGCTGCTGGGTTTTATCTCACACTCCTTTCCCCCCTGCCTTCCTGAGAACAAACACTTTCATAGAATCACAGAATCTTTAAGGCTGGAAAAGACCTCAAGGATCATCAAGTCCAACCGTCAACCCAACACCACCCAACCCACTAACCCATGTCCTGAAGCACCACATCTACAGGTTTCCTGAACCCCTCCAGGGATGGTGACTCCACCACTGCCCTGGGCAGCCTGTTCCAATGCCTGATCACTCTTGCAGTGAAGAAATTTTTTTCTATTACCCAGCCTAAACCTCCCCTGGTGCAACTTGAGGCCGTTTCCTCTTGTCCCATCACTTGTTCCTTTAGAGCAGAGCCCAGCACCCACCTCACTGCACCCTCCTTTCAGGCAGCTGTAGAGAGTGATGAGGTCTCCTCTCAGCCTCCTCTCCTCCAGACTACCCAACCCCAGCTCCCTCAGCCGCTCCTCATCAGACCTGTGCTCCAGACCCTTCCCCAGCTTCGTTGCCCTTCTCTGGACCTGCTCCAGCCCCTCAATGTCCTTCTTGTGGTTTATGCCAAATTTATTTTGGCTTCAAACCAGCTGGGCGTGGGGGTAATGCTGAGCGTTCTCAGAAGGTTGGGAGTGTGTTTGGAGCAACCTGAGCATTTCCTTAAACTATCCCCCTCTGCACTGTGAACAGAGACAGCTTTTACAGGGCTGTGCTTTGAAATTTGATCAGCAGGTCTGAAATTATCGTGGGATTTTTATTGATGTGCCAACTTTTGTGACCCTGACATATCTTGCTGAATTTTTTACGTAATATTTTTAAAAATTTTAGAAGACATTTGGAACATTTGCTAATAAACGTTCTGCTTTGAACCAGTGCCTTGTATTGAAGCAGTTGCTCACTTCTTTCCCCAGATGCCTCTTTTTTTCACGTGTCCTCAGCGTTTTGGTATCTGAGGATGAGATTACATGTCACAGCTGAACTGATCTAACTCCCTGTCATCAAAGGAGAGAAACTCGAGCCTTCCTCCCTGCCACCTTCAGCTCCACAGTCCCTCTTCTTCCCTTGTGCCAGCCCCTGGCTCTGGCACTCGTCACCTCCTTTGCCCGGCCAAGGCAGCTCTGGGTCTGGCAGGAGCCTGCCTGCTCTACTGCTGGGCTGGGGCAGGCTGGTTCCTCAGGACTCAGAACAATGCTCTTACATCCTGAATAACATCTGAAATGTCTTTTTTTTTTTTTTCTTTCTTATTTAGCCCTCAGTCCGCTTAGTTTTTCTGAGCCCAGCTGAAAATGCTTTGGTGGTTTGCTACAGCTTTCACCTGACCTTCATAAACTGGAGAGGATAGGTGTTCCTCTCTTTAATATGGATGAGATGTGCATGCTGGAGATGATTCTCCCCTGCACAGGGGTTTCTGCATCCGTTCAAGTCCTTGCCATTGAGAGAGAACATTTCATTTGTTCTAGCTCTAACCCAGC